GTTGAAACCGTGGGACGAAGAACCTTCAGGCAGGTGGGCCCGCCCACAAACTGTGCCCGCTACTCCAGCAAAGAGATGAACGAAGACAAAGAGGGGGCCGGAGAGAAAAGCAGAGGCAGAGGCAGAGGTAGAGGTAGGTGGTGGGAGATCGAATGTAGCTTTCGTGAAGGGATAAAAACGGTAGTAGAGCAGCAAAGCGTCACTTTGGTGAGTTCGATATCGCGCCCGCGTGCCAACGTGTTTGTACTGCAGTTGAAAGAAATATCTGGTGACGTCAAGACCAGCCTGTCGCCCGGGACGCGCTAGCGGGCGGGAGATCGAACACGTGGCAACCCCACAAAACACCGAGAGCTTGCGGCTATGGCGCACGTTGGCAAGTATGCAGGTAAGGCCATATCCGCTCGCACGTACACCAATCAGAGAAAGATCTGTCTGTGTGCTGTACCTTGTTATGTTTTATTTTTCTCTTTCAATTCTCGATTTATGCGTGTCATCTTTGCGCAGGGGCCATGGAAATCTTCATTCTGTGTATGGTTCCAATTTTAACGGGATGTCCTGAAGGACCGTCTGTTTGCTGTTACGGGCACAGTCATCTACGAAATCCTGCTGCTGAGTACGCGCAGGGATGTGTTGCGAGCGCGCAGCAGCTATGGAGGGATCCGTGCGCGTGCGCGTGCCCGTGTCTGTGTCCGTGTGCGTGCCTGTGTGTATGTGTGTGCGTGCGTGCGTGCGTGGGTGCGTGCGTGCGTGCGTGCGTAAGTGCGTGTGTGTGTGTGTGTGTCTGTGTGTCTGTGTGTGTGTGTGTGTGTGTGTGTGTGTGTGTGTGTGTGTGTGTGTGTGTGTGTGTGTGTGTGTTGTGTTCGCTGAGCACGACCGCAAACAGAAAGCTGACTGTGATAGATTGTTTCCTGTCTCTTATACACATCTAGATGTGTATAAGAGACAGCCCCCGGACCCCCGGACCCCCACCGGGGCCCGACAACCCTGGTTGCAGTAGCGCACACAGAACGCTTTCTCGTTCGAAACCGGCATTGGATGATCGGGGTTTGTATTTAGTTATTGGATCCGTTTGACTCACTTGCTACGACACTAGGATCAATGAGGTGCGAAGTGCCTAACATCCGAGGCCGGTCGTGATACTGGTCGACGGTAGAAGCCGCGGGCGACATTATAAAAGTCGGGGGTTTTCCGACGCTTAGGCAGTAAAAGTGCGGTTTCTCGGGGGAGGCAGCCTAGTAAGAAAATTGGAGCTTTTATGTAACGGTGCGGTTGTAGCGTATGCACGACAGCGGCAGGTAAAATTGACTCCCTCATGCAGTAGGGGCGGGTACATAGGAGCCATGGACATGGCCGGTGGACCAAAGGACGACTTTTAATGCTATTCGACATGCTTTGGAGCAACATGGATAGCCTTTTTAAGGAAGTCCGCGCCTGTTACACCCAAGCTTGGGCCTAGCCCTATAGGTTACGACTTTGGACTAATATTACGAAGACTCGGGGATCGAAGCTGGGAGCCAGCAACGACAGCGGAGAAGCGCCTTCTGAAGAAATCGAGGGGTTCAGGGTCTCGCGGGACTATCCCCCTTAGTTTTGTTGGGGAGTCCGATAGCGGGCCCGACGGGTAGGACTAAAGGGGGACCGACAGGTTCCCTCTTTTTTTCCCTACTTGTTGGTCCCTCTCTCTCTAGTTTTAGTTAAATTTTTATTTAGTTCGCATCCCAGTACCGGGTCCGGTACCGGCGTTGTACCCTCTGGCCTAGTTAAGTTGATACACCCGCGAACTGTTCAAATACAGACTCAAGTTCGAATCCAGGATGCTATCAGGTCAAAAGAATAGACTCACTCTGAAATGTCTGGGCTTGGTCAGTTCACGGATGATATCTCAATGTCGTGGGGTAGTGGTCCTGTAGGCGGTATTGAGATGACTCGTGAGGTCCGAAGCTATTCAAAACAACAAACTTGATGGTATCGGGTCGTGGCTTGCATAATTCGTTGACAGATTGTAGTTGAAGCTACTTCGGTGCGCTATCATACGGCACGACGAAGACGGAGGAAAACGACTCCGTCGACTCGAAACTTGAAGAAGGAGGAGACAGCGAAGGGAGTGAAGGTGGCGAGCAGAAATTCGATAACTCGTCCGATTCCTGACAAATTGAGCAATCTAGAGTGTTGGGCGGAGGTTTTCGATCAATGCGAATTCAATGACGATGGTGGAATTGCAGCTTCAAAGTTGGGTTTGGCACGCAGGGTACCAAAGGCTGCGCGTTGGCCCTGCACAGAAAAGCGGAATAAGGGGGATTTTTGTACAAATCTCCTCATGTTTTAGTCGGAGATTCACTCTCATTTTTGCACGTTTGGAGAGGCGAACGTACTAGTGATGTTAGTTTCGATGATAGTTTAGACGGGGAGGAGCGGCATACTTACCTGGCTATTACTAGAGCGAGTGTGGCAGTACGGGCATTCTTGCATGTGTATCTTCCCATGTTCTAGTGGAAGATTCATCCCGATTTTGCACGATTGGTAAGGGCAACTCGTCTCAGTGCCCGTCGTCAAGGTGGCTGTTGTGAACGCACATGAGCGCCTTCTTGTACATAGTGGTCCTCAACCCGATGTGCATGACCGTGGTCGAGGTCCGATTGCGGAGTATCCTGCGGCTCGTGCTCGTTCTCCAGTAGGTGGCCATTGTGTAGACCTTGCTGCTCGTCACGATCTTGAAGATCACTCCACATGCCTACCGTGAAAGCTTGCATACTCGTAATCGGCTCGCTGCCCGTCTTTGTATTGCTGATCGCGACTCAGGTCGTCTTCGTGCCGCTTGTAATTTCCCAACCCCCACAGTCTGAACGAACATGGCCCAGTGGACGACCAAACGCATCCATACACAGGGGGGGGGCAGTAACGAGTAAGAGAGAGAGGATTAGGTGCGTACGTGTGTGCACATGCGCACACGGGAGAGAGGAAATGGAGTAGAAGAAAGAAGGCAAAGTACTTGGTTGGGTGTGGCTGAAGTTGCAAGCCCCCTATGCAAATACTAAGATAAATCTTTCCGTGTTTTAGTGGAAAGTTCAATTTCATTCTCACATTTGGTGGCGAAAGGGGGTAAGCTCGTTCTGTATTTGGAGTGGCGATCTAACACACGTGCTCGCCGGTTGAAAGCGCTCGCGCTACTCCATTCGTTGCTGCTTTATGTTTTTCTTGGCTCGCGTTTCTTTATCACTCATTTTTGTTGTTGGCGATCAGGTCTTCGCCGAGGCCTTTTGGAAGGCTTTCATCTCCGTTTTAAGTAGTGGTATGGATCAAGGCGAGGCTTTGGTCATGATGCAAGGATATCAGGGAAGGTAAGGGCGAGAGAGAGGAGGAGGGAGACTTACTTGTTGTCGAGGTCCAGACCGAATGTGGGAGTTGCCGCCGTTTGGGGCAGGTGAATGCATCTCCCTATGTTTTTTGGATAGATTCATTCTCATTTTGCACATTGGTAAGTAGTGGAACGAGGGTCTCTATCGAAAAGGGGAGTTTGAATGGGGTGGCACATCTGTACGTAGCATGAGGTGAGATCCACGAGAGTAGGGATCCGGTGCAGAGGGAAAAGGACAGAATACGAGCTTACTTGCGTCGTTGAGGCAGTCATCTTTGCGAAGTTGCCGTCTTCAGGAACTGCAGTGGCATACCTCCAAATTATAATCTGTTGAGAAGAGGTTTGATGTGAGGGCATATGACTGGTCAAACTGGTGGTTCGCATGGTCGACATGTGCTCTCTCTCTCTCTCTCTCTCTCTCTCTCTCTCTCTCTCTCTCTCTCTCTCTCTCTCTCTCTCTCTCTCTCTCTCTCTCNTGTGTGTGTGTGTGTGTGTGCGTGTGTGTGTGTGTGCGTGTGTGTGTGTGTGTGTGTGTGTGTGTGTGTGTGTGTGTGTGTGTGTTGTCGAGAATCCACGCATTCCTGCGGCGCGCATTGTCACCAATCATCCAAGCCCGTAGGTGCTGAACTAGCAGCGGGACAACCTCCAGATGTGAGCCAATTGTTTTATTTTTTTGTTTATTTTGACTGATACACGTCGAAATGAAATGCAGCGGATCTGCACGGCTTACAGTGGATTGGATCACACTTGAGCTTGTCCCGCTCCAGCTGCTGCTGCTGCTGCTGCTACGTTCTTCGCCCGAACTTCACGCCCCGTCATCATGACTGTATTTGGACAGGAATACGCTATTGTTTACTTTTGTCATGTTCATGATCTATCGTTATGTTCGCGCGAAGCAGCTACAGCCTACCGGTAGTGCAATCTGGGTCCCGTGGAACTGCGCTGTGTCCCGTAACCCGTAGTTCTACTCCATATATATATATATATACGCAAGAGGTTCTGAACAGGGGGAGTTATAAGGAAGAAGATTATATCATGAATTCATTTCTCCTGTTTTCCTTCTTTCTTTCTTTCTTTTTTCTTTTTTTCCCTTTTGCGCTCTGATATGCTTGTGACGATATATATATCTATAGATTCTATACATGCTAAATATACATATATGCATAGTATACATACATATATATACATGATGAGTCGGTGCAACTCTGACGAAACAGTTTCTCACAGCCCCTCGTTTGTTGTCCTCGTCTCCCTCTCTGCCTACGCTTTACCCGGCAGCTCTGTATCTAGTGTAATCAGTGAGGGGATTCTGCAGACTGTTGAGGGTTCAGCCTCCTGATGAGTCGGTGAAACTCCGAGGAAACAGTTTGTCACAGCCCCTCGTTTGTTGTCCTCTTCTCTCTCTCTGCCTACGGTTTACCGGGCAGTTCTGTTTGTGACGATATATATTCATGAGTCGGTGAAACTCTTACGACACAGTCTGTCGCAGTCCCCGACTCCCCCGTTTCTTGCTTTTTTCTCCTGGCTGAGGTTCACCGGTCTGTTGTCTATATGACGATAATCACTATTACGCAGACCTCCGTCCTAATCCTGGTGGAATAAGCAGCTCCGAATTTCCTGGGATGGGTTTTCCAATTTCAATCGTCGTGCTAACGTGCACAAAAGTGACAAAACATGTCTGGAGTGCGAGATACGTTTCGGCATCGGCACCCATGCAATGTAAACAAATTAGCAATTGCATTTTTTTATGCTCACTAATTTGAGCTAAATTAAATTTGAACCAATTGCCCACGACAGGCATATGTGAATATATTTGAGGATTCGAGCACATGATTTGCCAATTCAATTTGGCGTTAGAAGAAAAAGAAAAAGAAAAAAAAAATTACCGTACGAAAATATACCAAAATAGTCGTTACTTAAAGGCACTTTCGACACCACTCTCGTTATTGGGGCTTGCCACACCACACTACATTCCTCATAGCCTGATAGGGGCTTGCCTACAACCCCCCTCTTCAAAAAACAGGGGTTTG